AAACAAATATTTTATTATTAATTTATGATTAATTTAGTATTATTCGAGAAGCTCATCAAATGTTGCATGTAAAATCTTACTCTGACAAATAACTAGTGTATGAAGATATTAATGTAGTTTAGTAAACAGTATATGTAGAGGATTGAATATTGCAGAAAATGGAAATACTCAAAGTACAAGTGCCTTGTGTATTCCACTACTGGCACTTGTCATGCAGCAAGAAAAGCACAGGTTTAACTAATTAGCTGAGTCCAGTGTAGGCAAAACAAAGAGCAGTGCCCTAACTTTAACTGTCTGTGTTTGATACAGCACAGTGTAATCAGAAAACTAACACCAAAGCAGCTGTTTGGACTGAAGTGGAAAGGGGAAGAGGTGACCTTAATATTTTGGTATTACATAAATATTTCTAACCATTGATATAAGGTTTTTATACCACATTAAAACTGTGGCATTATGTACATCTCGCACGTTACAGAAACAGCGTGGAGCAGCCGGTTCTTACTATGTGATGACAATACTGAAGACTTGATGCAAGGTAAGCTGATGGCAGAGGCTGCTGAAATTGATTTGAGACGATTTAAGTATTAGTGGGGTACACAGAAATTAAGTTGAAGCTCTGTGTGCCGCGCACACTGCAGCTTTTATTTAGTAGGGCATGGCTCATCTTCCATATGAATGTTTCCTTATCATTGCAGGAAAAGCACAGATGTGAGAGATAATTTTAATGATGAGTACAAACTCTCTCATAGTGTAGTAGCACAGAGTAAAGAAGTACTACCCATTTATTTATTTATTTATTCCAAACAGCTAGGGTAATAGGGGGAAAAATATGAGTGCCCTAAGAAAGAACCAAGGAGCAGCTTCTTAGTCATGTCACATCAGGTAAAAAATCCATCCATCCATCCATCCATCCATTTTCTTCCGCTTATCCGGGACCGGGTCGCGGGGGCAACAGTCTAAGCAAAGATGCCCAGACTTCCCTCTCTCCAGACACTTCCTCTAGCTCCTCCGGGGGAATGCCAAGGCGTTCCCAGGCCAGCCGATCCTGGATACAGGCGGGCGCAATGAGCCTTTT